AAAAGGCAATCTCTGCATCTAATTAACAGAAAGTCTCATAAAAGGTCCACCTATTATGAAAGCAAAACACGTAAGAGGCAGCAGAAAAAACACTCTCCAGTTTTAGAGATGCAATACTTAGCCAAAGGTACCTGGGTTAAACAGCGTTTGAACACCTCTTCCTTTCTGCCTCTTACAAGGGCTCGATTAAAGCTCTGAAGGCTGAGTTAAAGACCAGGTTCAGCTCTGGCAGATTGTGCTTGAGAAACACCAAGTGCTGAACAAGTTCTGCTACTCCCATTTGCTCTGCTGTTCCTGCAGATGCTATGGAACAGGCTCCTGCTGGGTGCACCTTTGCACTCGGGCAGAGCGAAACACTACCCCTTTCTGCAGGTGCCAGAGGATCATACAAATGCTGAGGGAAGAGTTGGGCGCAATTTCCTTAAGTTACTACCTGATAAAGAGGGAATCCGTGTTAACCTCACCACGTTCTGCTTTGAGATCTCCCCTCAGTCCATGACGTAATCTATGCCAAGCTGATACGCCTGGATGCTGCTACCCTTCCTGACTCACGAGCCAGAGGGAGTGACCATAAACAACACTGCTTTCTCTGTTCTACCTTGCCACCAAGCCTCCCCTCATACAGTAGAGCTGAGCTACTGGAAGTGCTGGCCTCTGCTGAGGAAGCAGAGGGCAAGTTGCAACAACAGCACTTCTGTTGCCATTGTCACCTGATGGCAGTTTGCCCCACATAAACACATATTTCAGACAAGTCATTGGATAAACAGGCAAAATGGAGGTTCTGCTTTCAGCTGTTCATCAACCAGCATCTGATGGCACTCATTTGGGTGACTACCTAGAAGATACTTACTCATTTATTCATTCTGCGTACCGCAAAGTGTTTAAGAAGGAAGTGGGGGTGGATGGAATGAAGTACTTGGACCTTAGGGACACGGGGTCTTTATAAGGGTGGAGTTTTTCCATCTTAGGCATTCTGGACTCAAAGAGGACTTAATTAGGAGTAGAGGGAAGCAGAAGAGTGGCATTTTATTACGTTTTACAGAACCTTCATGGCTTCTGTTTGCTTGCTTTAGTAGCAGTTTTTATGCTCTGTCTAAGCGTGGCATTTTTTCATAAAGTTACTAGCTTTAGGAACATTCAGTTTCCCTTCAAAAAAATACAAAAATTCACAGAATATTGTTGCCCTATTATGTTACATCTCAAAACAGAGTACAAACAGCTAAGACCACCAGCTCCAGATAAAAGGTCTGCTTCATGAGAAGCCTTATCAGAAGTCAGTGCACCAAAAACCAAGATTAAAAATTCACCAGGACCCTTGTCCACGAAGCTTTACCAAAAAGGTCAGGTAATTTAAAAGTCTGCTTCATCATAGAATCATGAAATCGTTTGGGTTGGAAGGAACCTTAAAGATCATCCAGTGCCACCCCCTGCCCTGGGCAGGGACACCTCCCACCAGCCCAGGTTGCTCCAAGTCCCGTCCAACCTGGCCTTGAACACCTCCAGGGATGGGGCAGCCACAGCTTCTCGGGGCAACCTGGGCCACTGTCTCGCTCACAGGAAAGAGTTTCTTCCTAATAACTACTCTAAATCATAACATTTAAGCTACTGAAGGTCAATGGTGCCCATTGTCAACCCACAAAAGATAGTCACCACAGAAGATAGAATATATAAAAAGCAGCAGCTTCAGTAAACAGCCCCAGAAAATTCTGCTTCTGTATTAATAATAATAATAAAATAATCAGTCTTTAATATGAGATGTTGTTGCCAGCAGAGGAATTGCTCTGTGAAGAACCTTTGGCACAAAATACTAGGCTAGCATCACTGAACACAGTAACTCAGTAAGAATCAGCACTTCGCAAGAAAATGAGCACAACGCCCGAAAGAGAGCTACAAATGAAGGAAAAAAGTCATCCACAGAATAAAGCCTACAACACCTTCGACAGATGACTCCAACATGACCTAACTGACCTCACTGCACTTTAATGACTCCTCCAGCAAAACGCCGCCCCTCTCACCACACACGGAAGCTACTCAGTTCAGACTTTTAAGACCTCAAGCCTGTAACTTGCTAAACGTGCGTACTACTTCCATTTGCAAAACGTCAACAATACATTCAAAAAAACCCTAGTGAAAGACACGGTTGATATTTAGCTCTCTCAGACCCCCAAAAGCCATTAGATGGACAATGGCACATCACCAACTTGTGCTGCACATTAACATGTGCCTTTGAATAAAAGTTTCTGTTGCTGCTTGGTAGTTCTCTTTAGCACTAGAGCCCACACCACAAAAATCTCGGCTGCCGTTCACGTTATCAATTTGATCAAGAAACCAAGAACTGGTAAAGCTGAACTAGCCTCTAGCTCTCATCACGTCTTCCCAAAGTGGGCCAGGGTGTGCTGACCAAGCAAAGGCTCTATGACAAGAGCTCTGGTTAGCAGGCCACACAGTCCCCAGGGTCCCGAGCCATGGTGGCTGTTAATACCCGCGTCCGAAGCCAGAACATCACGGCAGACGGGCTCCCGAGGGCAGCAGCGACAGCGACGGCTGCACAGCCCTCTGAGGGGTGGCCTGGCACAGAGATCAACCCAGCGCGGAGACTCCCAGTTACCAGGCAGTGATGAGGTCCCATCCTGTCAGGTCTGGCAAAACACCACAAAAAAAAAGCCCCTCCAAAAAAGGGCGGCCATCGTGGGCCGGCACCGCTCGCTAACCGACCGCAGCTCCGGGCGCGGGGCAGGCCCAAAGGCCGCTGCCCACCACCCCTCAGCGCCCGAGGCCTGAGCTCGGGCCAAGGTCCCCCCAGCAGCACACACACCCCCCACCGGGCTCCGAGCCGCCCCACC